GTCACAGATTTAAGCTAGGAAAAAAAAAATTTCAAACTATGACCAATCATTTACCGGAGTCAAAAAAAATAAATAAATAAATAAAAAACCAGTTTCATTGTTCAGTGGGACTGGATTGAATTCGCAGACCTTTCAAATCCATCAATTGATGGGCAAAGTTTATGCTTTTACATGTAATTAAAAATGATGCCAATCATCGTGGCATTTAAGGACAGATCTTAAATGTATGCCGCGATGTTAAATGCTGGCGAAATTTCGGGATTATGACTACTAATGTTCAATTTCGTAGACTTGTAGTTTTGAACCCAATCCAGAAGACAAAGGAACTCCTTTATCAAGTATTGGGAGTAATTTGTCTTCGGGGAGGTCTTTTTAATGAAACGAACCCTTCATTTGCGTCACACGGAGAGGATAACCACGAAACCTTCACACGGTTAGCCTGACAGCAAGGAGACTCCAATCCGTAATCCGTCTACCACTGACTATATTTTACGTCAGCACTGTAGTCCGTGCAAGCCGGATGTGAAATTCATATCGACCAGCCATCGCTAGATATCAAATCCGGTTCACCTCATTGGAAAGCGAACGCTCTATCCCCTGAGCCATCGCGACTCTTTGCTTGTTATGTTACAACTATTTAGAATATTGCGCAGAGCTAAAATTTCCGGATTGGCAGCTCTAAATTTGCATTTTGTTCGAAGATGCTGCTGTAGAAACTTTTCTCATGACAAAATTATCTTTCACCTCTATTTGTATTTCTAAGTTTAAAGAACCCTAGAGTAAACCCTAAAGCTTTAAATGTTATAAAAAGAAAACATCAATACGTAAACAAATTATGGCAAGATTACTCAGGATTGGGTAAGTGGAGTAATTATGAATTACTTTGATATTTTAAAAATATTCATTTCAGCACTTCATGGTTTATCTGAATTTAATTTTGTCTAAACTATTAAAGCACCAATGGAAGTGAAACCGTCCTTTAAAGTTAAGCTAAGTACACGAGGGTTGCTATTTATATTTCTGGCCTAATAATGAAAAAACAAACATGTAGGATCGAAATTGATTTTATTGTTTTTCAAAATATTCTCCATGATGATCAATACACTTTTGCATGCGTTTGAACCAATTTTCAAAGCACTTTTTCCAGTCCGATTGAGGTAACTCCAAAACATGCGTTTTGAATGCATCAACCGCTTCTTCGGGGGTCGAAAATCGTTGTCCACGTAATTTATTTTTGATGTGTGGGAATAAGAAGAAGTCATTGGGTGCCAAATCAGGGCTGTACGGCGAATGACCCGTCAGAAATGCCTTTGTTTGAGTCGATGTGTGAGAGCTCGAATTTACATGATGAAGAATGATTCGCCTGTCCTTCTGCTTTTTTCGAATTTCTCCGATGACTTCTGGCAAACAAATGGTGGTGTACCATTCAGAATTGACCGTCCTGCGTTGCTCTAACACCACTGCTGCCACATGACCGTTGATGAAGAAACAGGCAATCATTTGTTTCGATGTGCTTCTTCCTCGAACAACTTTTGTTGGTTTTGCCTCGTCTTGGAAGACCCATACAGTTAACTAGTAATTAGTTTCCGGCTCATATGCATAGA